AGTATATCCGCAGTAGAAGCAGAGTAACCGACATAGCCCAACTGATTAGTAAGCTGAAATGGCAGTGGGCCGGCCATATAGCTCAAAGAACCGACAACCGATGGGGAAGAAAGGTTCTTGAGTGGCAGCCTCGTACCGGTAGGCGAAGTGTAGGGCGACCCCCCACGAGATGGAGTGACAACCTGGTAAGACATGCAGGAAGTCGATGGATGCAGGTGGCTCAGGACCGTGCTTTGTGGCATTTCTTGGGGGAGGCCTATGTTCAGCAGTGGACTTATGAAAGGCTGTAATGAATGATGATGATTCTGTGAGAGCGTGGTCCTTGCCCGGTCGAGCCGATCCATTCGTGCTACAACTATACTACATAATATAGCTGCGGCATGGCTCTACCACGTATGGTATATAAACTAGAAATACTTAACATAGACTTCGTAGGATAGGGGCTCCCCAGTCCCAGTTCCTTCCACTTCACCGCATCCAGCGCAGAGAGGATCGAATCGTCGACGACCGAGTTCCTTCCGATCTGCTTGACTCACTGGCACGGCGTAGTTATGTTGCATCTCTTTGCGTATTTTATCGCATCTATCACGGGAAGTGCTCTGAAGAATTGTTCGAACTAATTCTAAATTAAGAAATCGCATTTGCATGTTACCAAACGCGATGACTTACGACTGTTTTTGAGTAAAATCGAACTTGATATCAACAAACTTGTTAAAAATCATTAAATTCATCCATCTCATTAGATTAGTTTTAAAACTTAAATTGATTACCTATTTATATCGTTTCTTTTACTTTAATTAAAATATATTCTTAATATTATAAAGTTCAGTTTTAATTGCTCTCACTGGTAATAATGTCTAGTTTAGAATGTAAGTTTAACACCAGAACCGACTAATATAGCACACCATAACTAAATTAATTAAAGTAATGAAATTGTGGTTTTTAAGTTTTGGGAGTGTATAAAAAATTTAGGGGGCGCTGAAAAATAATACAATTATAAAGGGGGTGGTAAAAGAAATAAGTTTGATAATCTCTGGGTTAGGCCAATGCCAGTGGTAGGATAGTCCTATGAATTACATACATCTAGTTACATTTTTTTACAGCCTATATACGTCCCACTGCTGGTCACAGGCCTCCCCTCATTTCTGAGAGGTTTTAGGGCAAGGAAGTGTCCGCCGCGCCGCGCTAATGCGTGTTGGCGAGCTTCACATGTCTTCGAAATATTTTTTTCTTATTTCTCAGACATGCAGGTTTCCTCACGATGTTTTCCTTCACCGCTGAACACGTGGTAAATCAGCACTTAAAATTGCAATTAACAATTTCATTGGTGCCGGCGGGGATCGAAACCGGTTTGCTCGCGTACTGTTAAATTTACAGTGAGCGCTAACCATCTGAGCAACTACGGCTACAAGTTACACTCTAGTTACATTATACAGGGTTATTTTTCAGAGTAGCCAAATTTTAAACTTAAGTTCAAATAATGATTTCTTATATTTACGCGAACACTACACATTTAAATAAAACTAATTTTACGGATTTTATCGCGTATATTAACTTATTTTACTTTCCCGACGTTTCAAGCACTTTACAGCACCCATGGTCACGGGGGGGACTGAGGTGTATGACGTCCCAATGTCATAGTTAACCACGGCTACCTCCAGATTAAAAATTATTAATTTTTGTTGTTGTTTTTGTTGTTATCTTTTTGCTCTTATCCTTTAACATTCATCCATTACTGCCTATAAAAGTCCACCCCCATAGATTGGCTTACATGGGAGGATTTTGCCATAGTTGCCACGCTTGGCAAGCGGGTTGGCACCCGTATTTTTTTATTATTTCGAGTTGTTATCAGGAAGACGCTGCTGCCCACCACTTTCCATCAACTTCCCTCTGTCGCGTCTTATGAGACCCACTGGACGATATGGGATAGTAGATATTCTTACAAATTTGCTTAGTAGATGTTTATGTAAGTTTGTTGTAATACATAGAAGAATAGAAATCGATTGCAGATTGTTTGGAATGGACTGAAATGTGATAATTTTATTAATTATGGTTAATTTTATTTAATTAATAAATTTGTTATTTTTTTTAACTGATTATTTTAACAGTTAAAATATATATTAACCATCTTTAATTCAAGGACAAGAGCCGATGAATGCCTCTCTGTAGCTAGCTACCCAAATCACCTAGTAAGTTTACAACAAAACCCTGCTCTCTGCTTAGCCTTTTACCATAATACGCAGTGGCCAATAAATGTACGTAGGTATAGATAAATATTTTATTGTTTTTTTAAATTTTTAAGTTCAAATATATATATACGGACATACCGTTACTGCAGTTTTTGAAAATACACTTTCTTCCGTGCGAGATTCGAACCCGTACCACCACAGGGAAACTCTTTAGTCACTGCATTACTGAGTCGCCGAAAAGCCGGGAAGCAATTCCAGCGGAGTATTCCAGTCGTTGAATATCGGTTTAATTTTTATGTTTTTTTATGTTTTAAAATAAAATACTGTTACCTACTATTTGTTCACTTTATTTCAAAAGTCAACAGAATATTTAAATAACAACTAGGTATCACAAATATATTTTTTTATTTCACACATATTCTTCAGTTATTTAAAGACGTCTTAACGGGTTTTCTCCTACACTTATTTATTTTAATTTTCTGAATTTAAAATAGACAAATAATGATACATATTGACACTCTTTTCAAGGTCCGTCTCTCACGATATTGTGCTATGATAATGAGGGCTGATATTATTCCACTCACTAGATGTCGCTACTTGACACTGAGGTAAAGTTTTTTGTTTCACAATTCATTTAAATGACATAAACATTTTAAATAAAACTTTATTAAACTATTATAGTAATACACAAAACAATGCCTCAGTGGTTCTCTTTAATTTTTGGCACATTTTATCTCTTTTTTAATTTTTCTACTTTTATGAATATCTGTGGTTTGGTTTATTTATTATAAATCTAAATAATACAGAATATAACTAATAGTACAGAAATAAATATTTTTCGAACAAATTATCTTTCCCACTATGAAATCTGTCAAATATTACACCTTATTTTTAAGTGGCGCCGCTCTAGCGGCAAAAAAAGTCGTGGATATCCTCATTGGCAACAGACAGAAAAGACAGTTCTATTTTGGAAATCTCCGAAAAACCAGTCATTTGGATAATGATCTAATAAAAACTACAAACAAATACAATTTTTAAAACTTTTCCTTTTGTCTTTTCTGTTCACTAGACAACGTCGTTCCAAGTTTTTTCTGCACATCTTTATGCAAATATTATTTTAATAATTGGGATGTTAAAGAAACTACTTAAATACCAACGTCACATCGCAACTGGAAGTTACTAACGAGATTCGTGATGAATTACTTTATAATGCTAAGAAATGTAATACATATTTATGTTGAAATACCGAACGTGGTGATGTTTCAGCTACCCATTAGTGACGCGAGTTTGTAACTTGTTTCTTTAGCTTAGCTCAACGTTCTAGAAGATGGGCGTAACTAAACGTTAGACAATTAGTTTCTATAACATAGTTTCAGTAATGTCATTTTTACATGTGGAATTCATTAAGAACAAAAAGGAGACAACACAATCTAAACATGTATAAAGTCATATTCGATATCTTTGCTGAGAAACAAAACTTCTGTCAAGTAAATTACCTTCATTTGATAGTATCTACTCATACAGATCTTACTTAAAAGATATTCGACTTTATTTTAATATGTTTTTGGCATTCATTATATCATTCCAACAACGAGATGTATTGGTGTTTCTTCAGATTAGACAAATGCCAGCGGTAGGATATTTTTTGGCTAGTTATTATACCTAGCAGTAGAATGTTTTAGTGATAATATATATTTATTTCATTTCTGAACATTACCACTACACTAGAATTTTTTCTAAACATTCTGCTAGTAATAAACTTATCGTGACATAGTCAAATATTTATTAACTTTTTGTAAGTGGAAGGAAAAGGGAAGATTTCCGCCGCGCACGCTATTTCAAGCCCGGGGAGTGGCCAACACAATTTGGTTTATACGCAACTTGTTCTTTAATTGGTAGGTGTTTGGAAACTTCAGCATAATTAGTTTTCCCTTGTTGCGCACAGTCTGTTTGCGCTATTGTGGTGTGAAGTAATGGTAGCGTCATTACAACATGATTAATTGGGTCAACAAATGAATTAAATGTTTAATAAATCGAACTAATCGTCGAATGGACATTGATATCTATACTTAATATAATAAAGCGGAAGAGTGTTTTGTTTTTTTGTTTGTTTAAACGCGCTAATCTCTGGAACTACCAGTCCGATTTGAAAAATTCTTTTTGTATATTATAGCCAGATTCATGTAGAATAGTATAGGCTATCTAGCATTAAGCTATATTACTCAGCTAGCCTTAAATAGGGATATTTGTTAAGCAAGTCAGAAGAAAAAGCACTCCCGAAATGATTTATCCGCGTAAGCTGGTGTTATCGTTAGGGATACGTAAATGCAATGTTTTAGAAAAATATAGACCTTTACTCCCTCTAAAAAAAGTCCGCGATACCATATGTCTATTTCTTATACATAAGCCATAATTTGATATTTTGTGACAAAAATATTGAAAATTTAAAAGTGATTTATGAGCGTTATTATTAGGCATGGCCTATTTATCCTTACGAACGAAAGTTACTTCATCATCAAGACAATTTTATGAAGATAAACTTTGTTCTTTATACCATGTTATTTGGACGCATAGTTTAAGAGATACCTAATGTAAAATTAAAATACTTCAATACTAGGCTGGGCGCGCGAACGACGCTTAAACCCGCACCTCGGACACGTGATGACGCGGGTGAAACCGCGGGGCACTGCTAGTACGGTATATCTTTCAGAGACTCATCGTAACCAAACTAATAATAATAATTGTAATAAATGTAATAACGTCTTAAATTATATTATTAATAATTTTACTAGTCTGCTATTTTATTTTACACTAATGCATTTTTAATTTATTCTCTTTACTGAATACTAGACGGTATACCGCAGATAAAATAAACCACAGTAATGTCACCAAAATCAAAATGGCGACTGTAAATGCAGCAATGACGTCGAGTAGTGCCAGTTGATAAAACGGCATGTCTCTTGAAGCCGAATGAAGAGGAGCGGCGTGGCCCCAGCGTATAACTCTTTCAGTCCAGTAAACAGCAGTTTCTAGAGGGTCAGCTTGTCGGTCCAGCCAAATGCTCGACACAAGACGTGCCTTCACTCGAGTCCTGGAAAATTGTACACAAGTGTTTGTTTTTAAATTAAACCGGGATATTAGTTTATCCACGGAGAAGGTCCAGCCATGTCTAGCGCGGTAACAGATAGAATTTGTTTTCTTACTGGAAACGAGGCATTCCATCTTAGTTCTCAGGGGTACCAAAGTATTTGCATTTTGATTTTTAATCGAAAGAACGCATCGCAATCGCTTGAAAGAACGCAGTACGCAGAAGTTAATATAACTTGCATATTTCTTATATTTAGGCGCACACTACACAATGAATGAAACTAGTTTAACGGATTTTAAAGTATTATATTAACTTTTTTTTTGTAGAATAAGGGTGACAAACGAGTACACAGACCACCAGATGGTAAATAGTTGCTGTGGGCGATAGAAATCCACATCAATCCTCGACTTGGAATAAAAATGCAGATGCATTATCATCCGTGAGGACTAAGATTGAATGTCTCGTTTCCAGTAAAAGGGGTCACGGCAGCGTTAAGCTGCTATTTTACGCTGGTATTCTGTGAGAGCGTGATCTTTCCCCGGTCGAGCCGACCCATTCGCGCTACAACTATACTTACTACTAATATATTTGCAGCATGGCTTCTAACACGTCAAAAAACTTATTTTATGTTCCCAACGTTCCGAGTACTTTATAGCAGCCATGGTCAGGGGGACTTAAACAACTTCTCGTCACCGCTCTAACTGTATGATATTACATTTTGTATGAACAACACGTACAGCGTGGTTGGGGTGTAAGTTCATCCCTTAGATTGACTTATATGGCCTTGGTAAGATACGACAATGGAATAGGCTAGAATAATTATATGGCATCAGATAGATGGTGGTATTTTCTTTACCATCTATCCGTTTTCCATCCATTAAAGTCTGCAAAAGTCACTGCTGAACATAGACCCCCCAGATTGTCTCATTGGGAGAATTTTGCCATAGATGCCACGCTTGGCAGGTGGCTTGGAAATCGCATTTTTTTTACTTTGTTAAATTTTTATGATATTGCTCTCTTATTTCAATTCTCTGTCGCTTTACGTTCCGGTTCACATTTACGATATGGGACGTTAAGGTCGTTAAATATTATGCTTACACCGCCACTAGAGGTATAAAGTATATTAGTTTGTATAAATTATAATAAGAAGTAGCTGTTCCCCGCGACTTTGACCGCGTGTAATTTAGGGTTTCAATTATGTTGCGCGGAACCCTAATTATTTTTCTAAAATATAATTAGTCTATGTTACTCCTTATAACCTGCCATCTGCCAGTGAAAGTCAATTCGAAATCGGTCCAGCTATTTTTCGAAGATTAGCCGGAACAAACAGACAGACAGACAGACAAAAATTAAAAAATGTGTTTTTGTTATAAGTACCGTGTATACTTTCATATGCATTTAGTAAAAAAAAAAATAACTGTTATTTTGACATTACAAACAGACACTTCGATTTTATTTATTTGAATAGATTGTGATTGCCCTGTGCGATATATTTGTCTTATTTTAATCTTCATGGACACCAACATCCACGAAACATCAAATGCACTGTGTGTTCGTTTGTTACTCTTGATTCTATGAATAATTTAAAATAAAAAATTTTGTACCCCGACTTCAATATAAGTTATTAAGAATAACTCAAAAACTATTGGTCTGACCTCGATCAAATTAAAAAGAATCATCGAAATGGGTTCACCCAGTAAAAAGTTATGAGGTAACACACATAAAAAAAACATACAGTCGAATTGAGTACCGTCTCCTTTTTGTAAGTCGGCAGAAAATAAATCGAATGATTTTAAATTGTTAATTATCACGGGCATTAATAAAAGTGATTAAAATGCAGTAATCAACATGGTTAATAGAAGAAAAGCGAGCTTTTATAACTCGTTTAGTTTAGTTCTAGACCTAGATTTCTCTTTAAGAACTAAAATCTAGTTTCTTTCTATGCTTTAACGTTTTACAAGTGGTGTTTGTGCAATTTGCTTGCTGTTTTATTACTGTTACGACGTCTGTGAAAAATATTTTTGAGATATAAGAAAAAAGCATGCCACTACTCCCATAACTCGTGTTGGCGGACTTCACATTTACACGAATTTTATTTAGATTTTTTCAATCTTGCAAGTTTCCTCATAATTTTTACACTCACCGTCGCTACTAGCAGTTTCATTGAGGCTGGCGAGATCGAATTTGGTTTTCTCACGTAATGGTACCTAAGCGCGTATGTCGTAAGCTACCACGGATTGAATTATAATTAATGTATCTTTTTCGATAAAATCTATAATCGATAGCTTAATTATCATACTTTCTCGCCATTATGTCGAGATGGTTAAAATAGACATGTCTGTCTGTGTCTGCTGTCTGTTATAAGAATTGTAGTCAGAGCATTAAAAAAATAAGAGATTTGGAAAATAGAGCGCTGAGTTGAAGTTCGTAAGAAATGAATAACAACTTACTCAGCGCTGAGTACAAAATCAAGAGCTTCAGTCAGGGCCTTTTCAGTGAGCTCCATATATGGCACGACCTTCGCGAAGCCAGCCGCAGCTGCGGCCGCGCCGTTAGCCGGCTGATCCCCGAAGAATGGTACGACCACCATGGGCTTGCCCGCTGATATCGCCTCCGTCATGCCCAGTAGACCACCGTGTGCTATGAACGCAATTATCTTTTTGTGTTCTGTGGAAGAATACAATAATAAAATACATTACTTACAATAATAATAAACAGTACTGTTACGGACAGCGAGAGACCCGCCGCCCCGTCGCCCCTTCGTTCCCCGTTACGTCCCGCGCACCCCGCACGCCGGCGCTGATCACGCGATATCGGGCAACCAATCAGCGCGCGTGCGGGGAATATTGCCATCGGGCGGCCAACCCGACGAAATGAAGCGCTCTTCTCGGAAATATAAGAAGGGCGCCTCGGACGGTCGTTGTTCATTCGGGTTCATTCGGATCATTCAGAAGCATTCAATCGGAAGCGGCAAGGAAGAATCAAGACAGAAGACTCCATACTGAAGACCTCCCTTTTGTATAGTGATTAGTTAATGTACCGAACCCTTGTAAATAGTGAATATAGTATAATTAAAAGTACCATCTTTTCTTCGAGCAGTCCCCTAGTATAGCTAACCTCACACCGACAGTTAAAATACCAAATACAGTCCACTACTCTCCATCCACTTTATCTTGGTCCATCGTCGCCGGATAGCAGCCAGAAGAAGGAAGAAAGAAGAAAGAAGTAAGAAGAAACAAGAAAGAAGGCAGTTATACAAGAAAGAAGGTAATTATAGAAGAAGGAACATAATTACAGAAGAGAGAAGATTATTATAGAAGATCTTCAAGGAAGAAAGAAGTTCGTCGACGAAGAAAGAAGATCGTCGGTACTAATTTCTTCCCTGTTTCTTGTTACGCCTACGTCATACGCGTCTATTGTCTGTTTCCAGACAATTTCTTGTTTCTTAACCGCGTTTACGCGGCCAGTGGTCACTCCCTAACGGTGCCAAACTGTGACCATCTGGTAACGCCCTTGTGGCGGGAACGACATCCATACGTGTGTCTTTTTAAAGACTGTACGTACGTCTTTTTGAAGACGACCGGATGTCGCAACGTGGGACCATGAGGAAGACACGAAGCCAGAAGACACGGAACGATGATGACACGCCGGTAGGAATGCGCATATTCGAAGAAGCACCCGCGTCCCCGTCCGATTATCTCGCGATGGCACAAGCGCCCTCCGCCGCGCCCGCGCTCCAGGCCCCGCCCGCGCCCGCATCTACGCCCGCGCCCGCGCCCCCGCCGCCGCGCCCCGCTATGTCCGTGTCCACGACCGATCGTTTGGGAGAGGTTAGCATTTCCGCGCCGCGTACAGAGACACTCGCCGCGATTATAGAAGATCTTCCGTCTACAGAGATTAGTTCGATAGTACGTACCGTCGCGCCTGTAACAGACGTACATAGGCCCGCGCCCCGCGCCCCGTCGGTTCGCTCCGTTCGTTCAGCCCGGTCGACGGCTAGTGCGATAGCTAAATTAAAGCAAATTGAATATAACGCCGCGGAGGAACTAGCTGCAATTAGGAGGAAGCAATTGCAGTTGGAAGAAGATCTTATTAGGAAGAAGTACGCTAGGGACGTCGCGCAACTGCAAGAAGAAACAGATAGGGAAAGTGTCAACGAAGACGAGTTAGTTGAAAATAGGGTACGCGTTGATAGGTGGTTAGAGAACGTAGAGACTGTGCGGGGGGAGTCGCCTTCCCGCCCCTCTCAGCCCGCGCCCCGCATCGAGTTAGAGCAGACCCTACCGAACAGGGTAACCGGTTACGACCACAGTGAAGATGCCCAGGGGAGGACGGAAGCGAATGACGTTCAACCGCGCCGCATAGATTCGGTACAAAGGGAAGATGGAGTCGCCGCAGGAATGAACCAGGTGGATCGTCGTGTACGGGTTACGTCGCCGTCGCGCGTCCAACGCCGCACTCTATCGCCTACACATAGATCGCCACATCGCCACGCGGATCGTAGATCACCGTCGCCGCATAGGGATGTAGGTGCGCATAGGACGCCAGCGCCACAGCGCAGGCTAGAGAGAGATAGGGATAGAGATAGGTCGCTTACTCCGCGAGGAAAGGATAGGGGTATAGAGCGACTAGCGGAAGCTCTGGAGAATATGGTCAGAGTTAGGCCCGCTGCCGCGAAGCAGACGCAGGACTTGCCTATTTTTAACGGTTCGGCCGCGGAATGGCTAGCGTTCAAAGCCGCGATGAAAGAATCCACGCGTCTATATGGATTCACAGATACGGAAAATATGGCAAGGTTAAGAAATTGCTTACGCGGTGAAGCTAGGGAAGTAGTATCGGCACTGCTGTTTACCGCAAAGGATCCAGCAGATATTATGCGAACATTAGAGCAGTGTTTCGGCCGCCCAGAAGTAATTATCGATCGCGCGTTAGAAGAATTGAAACGCCTTCCGCGCCCGGGTCAAACTGCACAGGAGCTAAATGCGTTCGCAATAAAGTTGCAAAATATCGTGTGCATTTTGCAAAACGTCGACGGCAAGGGATATCTGCAAAATCCAATGCTTACTAGGGAGGTAACGAGTAAGTTAAGCCCTCACTTACGGTCGCGTTGGTGTGATTACGCGGAGCACTACGGGAGTGCAGACGAGCCGGACATCGTTACACTGTCCAGGTTCATGATGAGAGAGGCTGACCGTGCGTTGAGTCATGCCTATACGTCCGTAGAGCCGACTAAGGAATCGCCCGTAAGACGAGAGGCGCCGCCGTCGAAGAGGATAGTGACACGCCGCGTAGAGAATAGGGCTCGCGACGTAAAAACGTTCACCGCACAGGAGGACACCGGTAGTGCCTCTTGTATGTGCTGCGGAGGTGAACACGCGATCGCAAAGTGTAAAAAGTTAGCGCAAATGGGTGTGGACGACCGGTGGAATTGGGTAAAAGAAAACGGGGTATGTTTTCTATGTTTAAACAGTAAACACCGACGGTTTAAATGTAAAGCAAAGAAATGCGGCATCGACGGCTGCAACGCCCCCCACCACGCCCTCCTTCACACCCGCAAGACCCGCGCACCTGAGACATCGGCCAAACCGGATGAGACCGTACTCGTCGCGTCTAACGTCGGTAGGAATGCAGCCGTATTGTTGAAAGTGTGTCCCATTACGTTACGTGGACCACACGGTAAAGAAATAGACACGTACGCGTTGCTCGACGAAGGTTCGACTATTTCGTTGATCGATGACGACTTAGCGCGTGAGTTAGGAGCGGAAGGACCGGTAAAGCCGCTGAATATTAGGGGAATAAGCAATAGTCAGCGCGAGGCCGATAGCAGGCTAGTCAACATAGGCATACGTGGAAAATCGCGCAGCGAGATGTATAGAATAAATGCGCGTACAGTAACGAATTTACAGATAGGTTCGCAGTCAGTGAATAAAGAGTGTTTACGTCTAAAGCATTTACGCGACCTACCGAGCTCGGTTTGCTATGAGGACGCCAAACCGAGATTATTATTAGGAGCCGACAATTGGCATTTAATAATCACCCGTAACTTGAGGATAGGGCGTCGAAGGCAGCCTATAGCTGCACGTACGCTATTAGGATGGGTGATACAGGGAACCGTGCCGCGATTCACGTGTAGGGAGGACGGTGAAACCGTGTTACACGTCGTAAGCAGTAGCGGACGGATAGATAGGGACATCCGAACGTTCGCGAGTCAAGACGAGGAGATAACGGAACTCCTCAAACGGCAGTACGAGATCGATTCCATCGGTATCTCGCTAAGGAATAGGCCGCGACGGGAAGAGGAACGCGCTGTCGAGATATTCCAGCGCACCGTCAAGAAGGTCGGCGATCAATACCAGGTGGGACTGCCATGGAAGGACGACGACGTGCGGATGCCTCCTAGCTACGAGATGGCTGCTAGAAGACTGCGGACGATCGAGAGGAAAATGGACAAATCGCCGGAATTTCGAGACGCCTATACCGCGCAAATAGATAACCTCCTGGCGAAGGGATACGCAAGGGAAGCCGAGGGGACGGAGAGAGAGGACCCTAAGAGCTGGTACCTACCCCACTTCGCAGTACGAAACCCGAACAAGCCTGGGAAGACGAGAGTGGTTTTCGACGCGGCAGCGCGTGCGTCCGGTAAATGTTTGAACGATTATTTGCTTGACGGCCCCGACTTGTTACGGAACCTACCGGGCATACTGTTCAGATTTAGGGAGAACGAAATAGCCGTGTCAGCGGACATTAGGGAAATGTTTCTACGCGTTAAGATTGACCGTCGCGACCAACCCGCGCAATTATTTCTGTGGCGAGGTAACGAGCGATCCAGCCCACCGCGGGAATACGTTATGACTTCAATGATTTTCGGTGCGAGGAGCTCGCCGTTTCTCGCACATAGCGTTAGGGATCATAACGCGCGCGCACACGCTGAGACACATCCGTTGGCACTTAACGCTATCGTACGTAGTCACTACATGGATGACTACCTAGACAGTTATGCTACGGTAGAGGAAGCGGTAAACACTGCGAGGCAGGTTACGGAAGTCCACCAGCAGGCCGGCTTCACCTTAGCGGGCTGGAATTCGAACCACGCAGCCCTACTAGAGGACAAGCCGGAGGAATTGTTAGCGAGCAAGCCTAAGGAGGTAGGCTTGAGACAAGACAGCCCAGGCAGAACCCTAGGGCTATTATGGATGGCCAATGAAGACGCCTTAACGTTCAACACATCCATGAACCGGGTACCGAACGAGGTGAAGACGCTGCAGAGGCCACCGACCAAGAGAGAGGCGTTGAGTGCAGTCATGTCGGTCTTCGACCCGCTTGGACTGCTGAGCTACCTCACCATCACCGCCAAGATCCTGCTGCAAGACCTGTGGCGGATGAAGAAGGTCGGATGGGACGACGAACTACCCGAGGAGGCAGCTGAGGAATTCCAGGGGTGGCTGCGAGTCGTCGAGGAAGTATCACGACTGCGGCTGCCTAGGTGCTATGCTCCTACGGGGGGAGTGGTAGAGCGTCAGCTCCACGTGTTCAGCGACGCAAGCGAACGTGCGTACGCATCCGCGGCGTATTGGCGATTACGATACCGCGACGGAACGGTTAAGGTACGATTAGTGGCGGCCAAGGCGAAAGTCGCCCCGATAAAGGCGCAAAGCATACCACGGTTA